TGGCTGTCGAATGGTCATAGCTGACTTTTTAGAGACAACAAATTTTCGAGAAAAAAAGGTTCTGTCCTTTCACCTGATCTGGAAACAGGAGAAATCTGTGGCTGGTACTCCAGAATGATTTTATTAGGAAAGTATTGATGAATAAAATGTTATTGTAAATAGATGTTAGCTTGTGCATATACATGTAGTACCCCTCTAGGTAGCCAGGGGGAACTAGTGGCTAATTTAGAATTAGAAAGGCTGAGCAGCAGCCTGGAAATAGTCAGCAGGGTCAATTTGGGTCAGGGCTGAGAGGCTCTGCAGATCAGTTCCTTGATACCTCCCTCTGCTCTAGAATCTTGGAAAAGATTCTAGAAGCAGTGAGGAGGGGCTGATCTTCATATTTAGGGGATTCTGACCAATCCCCAGGCAGGAGGCTTGGCATGGGGTCAGGACAGACCTTTAGTATGACTGAGCCTGCTCAGCAGCAGGAGAGTATGGGTGGAAGATGTGAGAGGAAGAGATGCAGGTGTCTGGGAAGGGGCCTAGTGGGACAGGAGGCTCACCCAACCTCACTAGTCCTCGGTGGGAGGAATACCTGTGGAGCTAGGAAAGGAGCCAGCCAGGCAGAAGGCCTGAAAGCAGCAACCTACCAAAATTAGCTCACAGGAAAAGTGAGTAGTCCTACACCACCCATGGGCCAGCTAAGAGTAAAAGAGCACTCTGGTGGGAAACCTGACTAGCTCCTTACCCGGGACTGTTCATCTTAAAGTGGAAGGCACTGGATCCCCTTGCCCAGGGAATCCTTCAGACAGCTGGGTAAAGAAGAGGATTTATCTGGGGTCTGGGGTGGTACACCAGGAGAGACTGGAGAGCTCTCCCAGAAGAATTTTGCTGTGTAAAGACTTGTATATAGTTGTCAGGAAGTTGTCCTCAGTTTGCAGTTCCCTTGGGCATCTCATACACCCCTCTAGCCCATCCAAGTTCAAGTCCCTTAATAAAACTAAAAAAACAAGTTCAAGGACTGGTTACTGTCTCCTGGATGCAAGTCTGTGGAAAATGCATGTTGGCCAGCTGTGCAGGATCATAGGGGGACCCAAATCTTCAGCAACTCCTAAGGGGTAGTGCTACATACAAAACAAGTGCATTTGCAAAGTCCAGCATGTATGGATACTATGTAATGTTTATAAAGAAAAGATTTATTTTACCTGTTTCTGATTTTGTTTTACACCCATCTGCGTGATAAACTGGATTTGCTATTCCTACATCCTGCAAAATAAAATACAAACTGAACCAATACAATTGTAGAAGCAGGCCCAGATTTTATCACTGTATTTGTAGTTTAAAAAGTATCTAAACCCAGAAATAAAAATGTAATGTATTGCAGTTTACCAGTCTTTAATTTCACACTAGAATGCTGTGCAGGATACCCCATGTTTCATGCTGGTTTCCCGCACACCATTCAAATCTCACTGGCTTTGCGATCTGCAGCGGGTCTCACTTCAAAGTTAATGACACCCCAAGAGCAGGCCACAAACACACAGGTTGCACAATACAAAAGTACAATGCGATCCAGTTGCAGTGCGTTTCTAAAAATAGTGCATGCACTATTTTTTGTGAGGTGCGGTGCGATTTCAGCCCATTCAGAATGAATGGGGTGAAATTGCACTGCACAGGGCTGCATGTGAAATGCACAGAAACATGACGTGCATTCCTGTGCAATTCACAAGCAGTTCCTAACATGAATCGGCTCTTGTGGTGGCTGAATTAGTTCTTTTTTTCCCCTTTTGTATTCACCTGGTTTTGCTGCCAGTACCACACTTGCTGTCCTAGGGTGACAACACTTACTCTTTAGAGGAGCAGTGTTGTTTTCTTAGGGCAGGAGAGTCAAACCTTTTGACTTTATTGGGCCAGATTGAAAGAAGAGGAATTGTTTTGGACCACACATAAAAATACACTAACAATAAGAATAGCTAATGAGCATAAAAAGTCAGGCAGTTAAAGAGTATATAAACCCAATATCTCAGATTCCTGATATGTGCCTGCTGTACCATGTACCTGTATGAAAAGGGACCCTGTTCTCTTTGTATTGCTTCCTTTGTGTGAGATTCCTGGTGTTCCTGCCAGTCCCTCTGCTTTCCTATTAAAAACTGACTACAAAAGGCATGAGAGCACAGCGTGGTCAGTTCTCAAGCTGTGCTGGAACACAGTGTGCTCCCCTCCAATGATCAAACTTCTGCTCACATGCCCCCCCCTGCACAGCCATTCACTGGGAAGATCAGTGCAATGCTGTTTCTCCTCCCCTTGCTATCTGTTCTCAGCTACATAATTAGCTTAGAGGCTATGTGATCACCTATAAAAAAGGGAAAAAGGTATTTATAATGTGTTTATATGTATACACAAATGTTTTGCCTTTCATTTCTATTTTAAGCTACAACATATGGGTTGTTTTACAAGGTTAGGGTTCATATATACTTTAATGCTCACTGATATAGATAAGGTACCTATCTGAATAGAACAACATCTTTTTTTTTAAGTTTTAATATAAAAGTAAAAAAGGGCAACATAAAACTAGTGCAATATTTAACACTGTTTTTGATAAACAATTCCAAGTGAATTCTCAAGGTGCTCGTCAGATATTTTGGTTCTATCTTTGCCCTTCTTGTACTTCACCCTTGAAAACAGAAAATATTTTCCTTTGGGAAGATAAAAAACTTATAATAGTCCAGTACAGAGACACTGTCAAATTTCTCTGTGTATTGTAAACGCATTTTACAAAATAATTCAACCATCTCTGGCTGGCTTAAGACTGGTCAGTATAATCATTTACAAGTAAGACTGGTCTATAGGATCATGTACAAGTAAGACTGGTCTATAGGATCATGTACAAGTAAGACTGGTCTATAGGATCATGTACAAGTGAAAGTGGTCTATAGGATCAGGTACAATGTAGACTGGTCAGTAGAATCATGTACAATTAAGACTGGTCAGTAGAATCATGTACAATTAAGACTGGTCAATATAATCATGTACAAGTGAGAGTCGTCAATAGAATCATGTACAAGTAAGACTGGTCAATAGAATCATGTACAATTTAGGCTAGTCTATAAAATCATGTACAAGTGAGAGTCTTCAATAGAATCATGTACAAGTAAGACTGGTCAATAGAATCAGGTACAATTAAGACTGGTCAACAGAATCATGTACAAGTAAAAAAGGGGTCTATACGATCATGTACAAGTAAGACTGGTCAATAGTATCATGTACAAGTAAGATTGGTCAACAGAATCATGTACATGTAAAAGTGGTCTATACGATCATGTACAAGTTAGACTGGTCAATAGAATCATGTACAAGTAAAAGTGGTCTATACGATCATGTACAAGTAAGATTAGTCAATAGAATCATGTACAAGTGAAAGTGGTCTATAGGATCATGTACAATGTAGATTGGTCAGTAGAATCATGTACAATTAAGACTGGTCTAGAGAATCGTGTACAATTAAGACTGGTCAATAGAATCATGTACAAGTGAGAGTCGTCAATAGAATCATGTACAAGTAAGACTGGTCAATAGAATCATGTACAATTTAGGCTAGTCTATAAAATCATGTACAAGTGAGAGTCTTCAATAGAATCATGTACAAGTAAGACTGGTCAATAGAATCATGTACAAGTAAGATTGGTCAACAGAATCATGTACAAGTAAAAGTGGTCTATACGATCATGTACAAGTAAGAGTGGTCAGTAGAATCATGTACAAGTAAGATTGGTCTAATAGTATTACGTACAATTAGGACTGGTCAATAGTATTACGTACAATTAAGACTGATCCAAAGAACCATGTACAATTAAGACTGATCAATAGAATCATGTACAAGTAAGACTGGTCAATAGAATCATGTACAAGTAAGACTGGTCAATAGAATCATGTACAAGTAAGACTGGTCAATAGAATCATGTACAAGTAAGACTGGTCAATAGAATCATGTACAAGTGAGAGTGGTCAATATTATTACATACAATTAAGACTGGTCAGTAGAATCATGTACATGTGAGAGTGGTCAGTAGAATCATGTACAAGTAAGACTGGCCAATAGAATCGTGTTCAATTAAGACTGGTCTATAGAACAATGTACAAGTAAGACAGGTCAATAGAATTATGTACAAGTAAGATTAGTCAATAGAATCATGTACAAGTTAGACCGGTCAATAGAATCATGTACAAGTGAGAGTGGTCTATAGAACCATGTACAAGTAAGACTGATCAATAGAATCATGTAAAAGTAAGAGTGGTCAATAGTATTACGTACAATTAAGACTGATCAATAGAATCATGTACAAGTAAGACTGGTCAATAGAACCATGTACAATTAAGTCTGATCAATAGAATCATGTACAAGTGAGAGTGATCAATATAATCATGTACAAGTAAGACTGGTCAATAGAATCATGTACAAGTGAGAGTGGTCAATAGTATTACATACAATTAAGACTGGTCAATAGAATCATGTACAAGTAAGACTGGCCAATAGAATTGTGTTCAATTAAGACTGGTCTATAGAACCATGTACAAGTAAGACTGGCCAATATAATCGTGTTCAATTAGGACTGGTCTATAGAACCATGTACAAGTAAGACTGGTCAGTAGAATTATGTACAAGTAAGCTTAGTCAATAGAATCATGTACAAGTAAGACCGGCCAATAGAATCATGTACAAGTAAGACTGGCCAATAGAATCATGTACAAGTAAGACTGGCCAATAGAATCGTGTTCAATTAAGACTGGTCTATAGAACCATGTACAAGTTAGACTGGTCAATAGAATCATGTACAAGTAGGACTGGTCAATAGAATCATGTACAAGTAACACACAAGTGGCATGCTTCAAACTACTCACTTTATTGCAGACTACCAAATAAACCAAAACTACTCTTGCAAAAAATGAATAGAAAGCATAAGGGGACCTAGATATAAACTTACCACCACGGTGATACTCATGTTACTGCCCTGCTCCATGGCTTTTAAGACCTTTTCTCTCTTTCGGATTTTTTCTTGTGTCAGTCCCACAATTTGGCACATGGTTTCTTTAAAAATGTTCCTGTTGCCATAGTAGATCGGAGCATTATAGGACAGGATCTTCACTCCTGGTATTTCATAACACTAATTAAAAGAAAATGTTAAATTCTGGCATTTGATTCTGGAATCTTTTTTATTAAGCGGATGGGAAATTGAGGGGTATGGCATACTATTGTTTGAGGGACTTTTTATTGCCTGCTAATTGCATTGGTTCTTTTACTTTGTGGAGTTAATGTACTGTATTCATTCTAATGTGTAATGGATTCTGTGACCTGGTGCTCCCTTTCTTAATGAGTGTCAACTGGAAACAATTTTATTTTATATGTCTGAAGGGTAAAGGCATATTAGATAGGGTGGAAAACACTAAAACAATTCTTTATTCAATGGTTATTAGCCATAAATGTTGATCTAGGGCCAAAGTTAAATACTTCCTAATCAAGGTAAACAATATACCATGTAGGGTTGATAACATTCTTATAAATACAGGACAGAATTGTGGGAAGGGTGGGTCACCAACTTATAGCTGGGCAGCTGAGATTTCCTGCTAGTTAAGATACGCATATGGGGATAATTTAAAAGTTATGTAGTCATTTCAGACCTTCCCATCCAAAAAACACATTTGAAATACGTATATGTAAAACAACTTTACCTGACAAAATATTTGTCATCCTCTTTGGCAGAATTATGGTCAATGCTATTCAACCTGACTGACCTGTGCAAAACTCCTCACTAGTAATCTGTTCTTTGCTGTAAGAGGGAAATGTTGGGCAACAGTACAAAGTAGTTTTGTGGCACTTATACACTGTCCAAAAAATTAAAGGAACCGTTTTTAATCAGAGTATAGCATCAAGTCAATTAAACTCCTGAGATATTGATCTAGTCAGTTAAGTAGCAGAGGGGGTTGTTAATAAGTTTCAGCTGCTTTGGCGTTAGTGAAATTAACAACATGTGCACTAGATGGGCAACAATGAGACAACCCCCAAAGCAGGAATGGTTTTACAGGTGGACACCGACTTTTTTTCTCTACTCATCTTTTCTGACTGTGTTTCACTAGGTTTGCATTTGGCTAAAGTCAGTGTGACTATTTTTAGCATGAAGCGATACCTGGACCCTACAGAGTGTGCACAGGCAGTCCAACCCTCTAGGATGGCACATCAATACGTGCCATTGCCAGAAGGTTTGCTATGTCTCCCAGCACAGTGTCAAGAGCATGGAGGAGATTCCAGGAGACAGGCAGTTACTCTAGGAGAGCTGGACAGGGCCGTAGAAGGTCCTTAACCCATCAGCAGAACCGGTATGTTCTCCTTTGTGCAAGGAGGAACAGGATGAGCAATGCCAGAGCCCTCCAAAATGACCTCCAGCACGCCACTGGTGTTAATGTGTCTGACCAAACAATTAGAAACAGACTTCATGAGGATGATCTAAGGGCCTGACATCCTCTAGTGGGCCCTATGCTCACTGCCCGGCACCAGAGAGCTCGAATGGCATTTGCCATTGAACACCAGAATTGGCAGGTCCGCCACTGGCGACCTGTACTTTTCACAGATAAGAGCAGGTTCACTCTGAGCACATGTGACAGACGTAAAAGGGTCTGGAGAAGCCGTGAAGAACATTATGCTGCCTGTAATAATGTTCAGCATGACCGTTTTGGTAGTGGGTCAGTGATGGTCTAGGGAGGCATCTCCATGGAGGGATGCAGAGATTTCTACAGGCTAGACAATGGCACCGTGACTGTCATTAGGTATCAGGATGAAATCCTTGGACCCATTTTCAGACCCTACGCTGGTGCAGTGGGTCCTGGGTTCCTCTTGGTGCACGACAATGCCTGGCCTCATGTGGCAAGAGTATGCAGGCAGTTCCTAGAGGATGAAGGAATTGATACCATTGAATGGCCCCCATGCTCGCCTGACCTAAATCCAATAGAACACCTTTGGAATATTATGTTTCGGTCCATCAGACGCCGCCAGGTTGCACCTCAAACTGTCCAGGAGCCCTGGTCCAGATCTGGGAGGAAATACCCCAGGACACAACCTGTCGTCTCATTAGGAGCATGTCCCGACATTGTCAGGCAAGCATACAAGCATGTGGGGGCCATACAAACTACTGAGTACCATTTTGAGTTGCTGCAATGAAATTTCAGCAAAATGGACTAGCCTGCTGAATAATTTTTTCACTTAGATTTTCGGGGTGTTTTTTGAATTCAGTCCTCTGTAGGTTGATAATTTTCATTTCCATCAAACAATGAGGCATCCTTACATTCCTAACACATTACCCAATCCATATCCAGTGTTCCCTTAATTTTTTTGGGCAGTGTATAAACAGTAGTTTGACATGTGGAACCTAAGGAGTTAATGCTCCACATTGTGTAAAAAGGATGTTTGATCCGGTCTTCTCTGATCCTCCCCTTCCTCTACTGTCCCCAATCCATCTGCCGATAGAACAGAGCATTGGGGGCAAGCTGCACATGCTCAGTTTTGTGTGTATTGCTAGAGAGTTTTTTTTTTTTTCTTGTGAAAGTGCATGTGATCAGCACAGGGCTAATCAGCGCTGTCCAAACAGAGAATCAGGTGTTATGCAGACTCATGGGACAATCAGAGGAGAATGAAAACGCCTCCTATAAGCTTTAACCAGTGCTCTGCTAGATACTGATAGAAGTCACAAGACTGCTCTATACTACTGATGAGAAAAGGTATTTAGCAGTTTATATTTACTAAAATAATTGCATTTCCATGTTTTGTGTACTGTGTAAGACTGGATAATGTGAATGCAGGGTCCTGGGTTTAGTAACACTTTAATATAAAGTTGATGTGAGCCCTAATTAAATGCCATTTATTGCCTAAAGCACTGTGTATCAAAATAATTGTAATTGTTTTAAATACAGACTTTTTAAAAAAATAACTTTTTCTCATTTGTTTTGCATCTTAGTGCTGTTAATTTTATCCCTTTTGCAGCCGTAGACAGATTATCCCATCCACAATATCAAGGTGGATAGAAGAGTTTTCTCCACTACACTATTGAATTCTGATATCAGGACTCCTCTGCTGTCAGAATACACTGAACAGCACTGCAACCGATTGGCTACATGTGCTGATTGAGTGATTTTCCAACAGTCCCATTCGAGAGAGGCTCTTTAATAAACAGACCTCTCTGGAGCAGGAACGGCCATAGATGGATTGAAATGTGGCTGATCCCTGCTGAATGGCTGAATTTAGATCTATTTATGGCCAACCTTATACATTTAAGTTCTTTCTCTACAAGTAAAGTCTCTAGATATAGCCTATTTGTTGCAATGTGATTCATATCTAAGAAATGTTTTTAATGCAAGCACTCAAACAAAAAATGTGTGCTATCATATGGTTTTGCAAGCATACTGTAGGTATATTTAGTGTCTGTTCTGAAAGTTTATACCTTGTCATTTTGGTCCACTGGTCGGTATATTTCTGTATTGACTGCTCTTCCTAAGACGGAGCACTGGGTCCTAAAAGGCACAAAAAAAAAAAACAGAAATTGTTTAGAAAAAAAAAATGTGTGTATATATATATATATATATATATTTTTAACTTTGACATATAAAAACAATGTTTTAGTGTAAATCATAAAAGTGAATCTTTTGCACACCTGAAAAGTTAAGGCTAAGTGATAACAAGATGCATGTTGGCAGCTTTTCCTGTCTTTTCTGATCATTTTTGGCCCGACCCCGCCTACATCTGGAGGCTCCTTTAAAGTGTATTTCCACTTTTGCATTAAAATTTGAAAAAAATCCTTTATATGCGTGTTATGTGTTCCCACTCAAACAGCATACCTAAAAATTATTTTTGAAAAATATTTCTTACCTTTGAGTTGTTTCTCAGGAGGAGTTGTCATGGCTGACTGTAAGGTATTTTGAACAATCTCAGAGTGAGTTTGACTTAAAGTGGTAGTAAACTCTCATATCTTATTTTTACTTACAGGCAGGGGCAGACTGACCATTCGGGCACCCGGCACTAGGGTCAGTAGGGGGCCCCATGAGATGCCCCTGGTACCTTTTCATAGGCTTTTTTGGGTGTGGTTTGAGTGTGGACAAGGACACAGGGGCCCCATGATTTCCTATTTCCCGGGGCCCCCATGAGTTGTCAGTCCGCCCCTGCCTACAGGTAAGTTCAAAATAAAGATTTCCTGTAGGTTAAATTATTATCGCCTAAATGTGCACCGTTTAGGAGATATTCTAGTGAGCACCAGCCAGTGACATCACCAGTGCATGTGCTCTGAAAGAATGGCATACCTGTACTGTTCCTTCAGAGTTGTGTGCCGCAGCCGATACTCCGGTGCACATGCACGGGAGTGACATCACCGCAGCTCGGCCAATCAGTCACCCACAGCCCACTAAACCGGAGTTAAGACTAGGTCAGGGGCGGACTGACAACTCATGGGGCCCCCGGGCAATAGGGGATCATGGGGCCCCTGTGTCCTTGCCCAAACTCAAAGAAACCTAAGAAAAAGGTACCAGGGGCATCTCATGGGGCCCCCTACTGACCCCGGACTCTTGGGCATTGCCTGAGTTTCCAAATGGTCAGTCCGCCCCTGGACTGGGTGAAGATGAAAGCCTTTGCAGCTGTGACAGTGCGCCGCTGGAGGGCTTCGTTTTAAAGTAAGTTCTTCATAATGTGCTAGTATGCAATGCATACTAGCACATTATGGCTTTGCCTTGCAGGGGAAAACTTTTTATTATTTATTTTTTTTAAAGTTTACTACCGCATTAAGTCTGTCCTCATCACCATTCAATAGCACAAGTCTAGCCTCTAAACCAGGGGTGTCAAACTCAATTTCCTCTCAGGCCAAATCAGCATTATGGTTTCCCTCAAAGGGCCGGTTGTATCTGTAAGACTTTACATAAGGATCTACCCTTTATCACAATAAATAATTGCCTCTGCCTTTAATTATTACAGGTTTTAGTAATAACTTAAGGTGTGAAGGACAGGTGCAGACCGGCATGGAGCCCACTCATATGCAATATGTATCATATGTAGCAGATGATGCAAGTCTGAAAAGAAGGATCGCAGTCCGCTCGTATCATCCACAAGAAACTTTATTGGAGCCTGCTCAGATGAAACATGGTTCTGCCATAGTGTACAGAACAGCAGCACTGAGCAGCAGGGGTTTTTTTTCAGGGGGGAACGTGGGGGAACGCAGACCCGGCACCTCGAGTTCTGAATGTATGTATTTGCAAAGGGTGCTAGGGTGTGCTGGAGGGTCTATTGATATTGGTTGCTGGGGGATCTATTGTTGCTAGAGAGGATCTTTTTTTGCTGTGGAGTCTATAGATGCTGGTGGGGGATCTATTGTTGCTGGGGATGTGCCTTATGTTGCTGGGGGGGGGGCAATCCTTGCAGGGAGGAATTTACTGTTGAGGGAAGGGTCTATTGTTGCTAGCTGCTGGGGATAGACCTATTGTTACTTTGGGCTCTGTTGTTGCTCTGTCTGTTGTCTATTGCTTCTAGCTCCAGGGGATCTATTTTACTGCCTTTCTTGTTATCATTAACAGATTCCATACACATTACCAACACAAAATTATACTTGCTTCTTGGTTCTGTATTCTCTAAAGAGGCAGTACTGGGAGGTTGGTAGTGGAACCAAAAAAAGAGTGCACAGAGGTGAGTTGGGATGGGGACACGGGGGCATTTGGAAGGGGAGAGTCCCTGCCCTGTTATCTGAGAAAAAAGCCCAGCTGAGTAGTCTCCAGTAAGGTTTCTTGTGGATGATACCAGTGGTGTGCAACCCTCCTTTTCAACTGGAACAGAATTGTAGTATTCACATAATTATAAGCAGATGTCCAGAGCCCCCCACATCCCTTACAGCACCCTCTCTTACCTTGTGTTGCTTCTGGGAAGCAGCTGGGTTAGAGCTGCAGGAGAGGTGTGAGGGCCACATGAAGTGGCCTGGAGGGCCGCATTCAGCCCACTGGCCTTGTGTTTGACACATGTGCTCTAAACCTTTAACCCTTTGTTAGAACAGACAGTGTTCAAATCTAGCTACAACTGATAATGACAATCTGCCTGCTCAATGCAGACAGGGTTAATTATGCCAAACACAGCTTTCCAACTCATATATTCTTTTGGAACATGTTTTTAGTGTGGAACATGTAACATGTTCGCAATGCTGCAGCCACTGCCCACTGCAGAAGTACCGGGAGAAGTTTCCCGTACCTGCTGTCACTTTTAAAAAACAGTGCAGCCATGCGGGGCTCCGCCCACGTGGCAGGACATTCATTCACAGTGTTCTGTGAATGAATGAACTACAAGTCCCAACAGCCTTAGCGGTTGTTGGCTTGTGATTCTCGATGAACTACCACGGAGCTGTGGAGCAACATGGTAGATCATTGAATCTTCCTGTAAGTATATCTGCTTTCTCGTACATCCTTTAGCTTCTTATTCCTGATTGACAGTTCGGTTTTTGGTAAACCAAAAAATGGCTCCGGCTCAGTGTTTGTCTACTAATATTATCTTGTTTAAACTGCCAAAAGATGGATACATGCTGTGTGGATTTATACTAAGGTTTACAATTAAAACTTTATATTTACAAAACCAATATAAAATATATGGCAATATAAAAGTGTGTGTAAGACATGTACATGAACTCTAACATATAAACTTTACTAAGCTTAGAATTACTGTTATTTATTTAATATAAACCAATATATTAAAAATCTTTAAAATAATACATATATTGCTATCATATTATATATAATAAAACCTTAATTTTATTATAAAACTATTATTCACACCTTATTTATGCATTGCCATTAGCGGCTCCATCTAGTGGATAACATTCATAACTAGAAAAGCTACAATTTCTGGGGAAATTGTGTGAAGTGTTCTTGCCTCCACCAGTAGTCTACAACTGGAGTGGGCGGAGTAACTGGGTGGAGTGGCTTGTCACTCTGCTGCCTGCTCACACACCTGGGTTCCTATGGCAACTCACTCTACAGCAAGGGCAGAGAAGAGCGGTTAAAAACAAAGTGCTCCAACTTGCTCACTTCACTGGCGGTTGCCGTCTTCAAACAGTTGTAGTTTAACAATTATAAATCCTACGCTGAAGAGCTTTATATTATGAGAATCACAAGACCCAGACCTACATTTTGATGAATAGTATGTCTCTGAAATATCAAAATGAAGGCAGTCGCAGTATAGAAATTGCCCTTCAAATTTGAGGTGGCTAGAGTGCAGTTTCAATGAATGTCAATGGGCGGCATGAGTTGCAAACAAATGGTCATTTTGTGAAAACTATCAGGACTATGGCTTAGCCGTGGACATTTTTAGTGGCAGCAGGGATAGCTGAACGTTTTGATATACAATTCGTGTAGGTAGGCTTGAAAATAAGGGAGTGATGGCAGTTTAGAAATCATGTCCTGATTTTTCAGCTCACACTCTAGCTTTTGTCAGCTCCCACTCTAGTTTTGAACATTCATTCCTATGGGACCAATTTCACCATAAAAATGCCGATATTTTGTGAACCATTCAGCAAAATGTTCCACAAAGTAATAGCACACCAATCGGGAACAATCCGCACATTTTGGTATATTACTGTCTATGTAGTGTAAAAACTGTAGGAGGAGTTAGGGTGGTAAATTTGGCTATAATAAGAATATATATGTGAGATAACAGTAAGTGGTCTTGCCATGCAAGAACACTTAATTATTTTTTACTACTGAATTACTATACCTTATTTTTGCATTTTGGGAGTGGTTAAAAACAATTTAAATCAATATCTATATTTAACCCTTGTGGAGCTAAAGTATTTAGCTCACATATCCAATTAGTTTCTGTTTTTTTTTTTTTAATATCTTTATGTAAATCGCTCCCTCTCCAATGTTTTTTACCTTGTCGATACCATAAAACGAAAGTAAAGGTGGGATCCCTATTATGTACCAGCCTAAAATGGTTAGCTACGCTATGTTTTTTAAAACCATTTTTTATGTTTGTAATGTGCTTACTGATTCACTTGGACAGCCTTCTAGTTGTGAGGCCTATATATTTTAGTCCGAACGGACAGGTAAGAAGGTAAGTAACTTATTTACTGTCACAAGTGATGAATTTCATGTCATATGTTTTCCCCACTGATGAATAGAATTCCTCTGCTTTGTTGTTTTTATCCTGTGTTATCTTACAGGCACCTTATCTTTATCTTTTGCACCTGTAAAACCCCTTCCTATCCAAAAAGGTCACCTTTTTTTGGTATGATCCACTACATTCTGGGCTATCATATTCCTTAATCCTGGGGCCCTTCTGTAAATAAAATTTGGTTGTTTAGGTAGTATCTTTTTTAAGAAATGGTCTCTAACCAATATTGGCCAGTATTGTTTTATATACTTCTCTTCTTTCCTATATTGGACATTGAATCCTGTAATAAATGCTGTGTCATATTTCTGGTCACCTTTTTCCTTTTTCATTAGTACTTTTTCTCTGTCCCTCCTTGTTACCAATTCTATTGTTTTTTCCAAGTTCACCTTTTTATACCCTTTTTCTTAAAACCTCTGTATCAGCATGTCCAAGTTTGTACCAAAAAAAAAATCATCCTCTTTTTGGCAATTAAGTTTTATCCTCTTAAAAACTGCCCCTTTGGGATGACTCTCACCCATCCCAGATGGTGGCAGTGCCTAGTGGATATATATACATTTATATTGGTTTCTTTGAAGTATGTACCTGTATTCAAAAAATTTCCTTCTCAAGATGTAGAAATTGTGCCACATCTTTACTAATGTTGCTAGTGAACCTAATGTCATGCTTTTTATGGTTCAGACCTCTCAAAACACGTATATCATCAATAAATCTTTTATATAGTGTTAATTGGGGCCATGTTTAAGAAAAAACTTCCTCCTCCTTACTTAGAAAAAAAGAATATTAGCCCCAGTTGGGGCATACCTTGCCCCCATGGCAACTCTAATTTGATTATAAAAGTGTCCCTTGTACTGAAAGTAATTGTTTGCCATGGCCATCTCCAGTCCTTATCTGGGGGATTTTTAATTTGATAGTGATTTCAAAGCCCATTCAGTGGTCTTTAGGCCATCAGCTTGTTTAATATTGGTATATAAGGACTCAATGTCCACCCACTGTTACAAAGTAAGTGTTATTATTTACTGGGATGTCTTTAAGTATATTTATGAGATTTGTCTTTAATGAATACCCTACCTTTACTTGCCAAACTCTGTAAGTAGACACCTAAATACTCTCCCAATCTGGAATGTAGGGAATCTATCCCACTAATAATGTATCTTCCTGGTTTTATTTTTCTGGATTTTGAGTACCTGGTATATCACAGGTAATTTGGGTACTCTAAGTGTAAGGTATTTTCCTTCTTTCTTATCTAACCTTCTTCTGCCCCCTCTGGATCCAAGCTTCTAGTTTTTCTTCTAGTTCTTTTGTTGGATCACCAGACAATTTTTTATGAGTATTAGTATCACTTAGTATTCTTAACATTTCTGTTTTATAATCTTCTTTTCTATTGATGACTGATCCCCCCCCCCCCCCGCACCTTTTATCTGCTGGTCTTATTACTACTCCCTTTTGCGTTTCCATATTTTCTTACAACATTTCTTTGTAAACGTGTTGTCCTTCACCTCTTCTTGAAACATGTTTTTAAATACTTTAATATATTAGTAGTATGTTGATTTAGGGTTGAGGGTTAATTAGTTTTTTAGGATGCTATGTGTATATTCTGTTTATGTTTGTTCTCTTTCTCCTTGCTGATTTTCTACAAAACATTTTTTTAATTGTAGTTCCTCTTTTAAAACTTGTAATTCAGCATCCAAAAATTGATCTTCCGCTAGATTAAATATGCAGGACATTACATTACATTTCAATTTATGAATTTAGAGTGTAAGTGCCAGACTTTGTTCTTAATTTTTATACATAGCAAGAAAACTTTGGCAAACATTATGTTTTATAATACAAAAATAAAAAAAGAGTGTTTTCTGGAGTTGGGTTTAAAATAAAAAATAAGTTGAAGTGAACAAATAAACCAAAATATACCAATGTGATCAATTGAATGATGTTGCTAAAACTAGGGTGACCAGATCACAAGGATGGGTAATTCATCACTTTTCTCCTGTGTATACACAAGTAGATCTGTCTAATCTGCTAGAATAATGCAATTATTCAATGTAGGAAATCATGAATCATAAAGGTAAATATTTTAAATATTGGATAATTCTGGTTCACTCATCCATATCATTAATGTGTGTCTTAAAACCAATCATAATAAACACAATGATAAACATTATTACATTTTTAGACTATGTACCTTTGGGTTCGGCAAACCACCGTCATCATAGAGAAAACAACTCCAACCATCAGGCCCACTTCTACATTAAGGATCACTACTGCCAACCACGTGACTACCCACACAGACTGTAAAATAAAATGAGAAGATGTCATTGAACGTTTGTTCAGTATTCTATGTCATGTTCGCCTGATGTAATTTTCTTTGCTGTCTACAGGTGGCAGACAATATCTTGCTTCTAAATGAGTGGCTCTGTACGAAACCTACAGTGTTGCTAAACCCACAACAGTAAAATCAGTCTATATATGCAGTAAAGCATGCTTGTTATACTCACTGTGGATTTTAAGGGGTTAATCCTCTGCACTGTGTAAAAAAGGATGTTTGATCCTGACTTTCTCTAATCCTCCCCTCCTTCCACAATCCCCATTTCATCTCCTTATGGAACACAGCCTTGAGGACACTCTGCACATGTTTGGTGTTTACTGCTAGAGTTTTTTCTTTTTCTTGGGAAGGTGCATGTGATCAGAACAGGGTCAATCAGCACTGTCCAGACAGAGGGTCAGGGGTTATGCAATTTCATAGGGCAGTGAGAGGAGAATGAAAACTCCTCCTACAAGCTTTAACCAGTGCTCAGCTGGACACTGATAGAAGTCACAAACCTGCTCTAACTGCTGATGAGAAAAGGTATTTAGCAGTTTATATTTACTAAAATATTTGCATTTCCATGTTCTGTGTATTGTGGGAGACCAGATATAGTGAATGCTGGTTTAGTAACACTTTAATGTGATTGCAAACACTTACCTTGTAAAACAATCCATTCCATTTAAAATAGAAAGGAAAGACAAAACATTTGTGCATAGATTAAAAAAACAATATATACACCCTTGTTTTCCCTTTTATATAAATGATTTTGTTCTCAGCTGCATAAGAGCTGGGGGAGGAGAAAACAGCACTATACTGAACTTCCGACTGAAAGGATGTTCAGAGGGGTTGTGTCAGCGGAAGTTTGTTCATTCGAGGAGTTCCCAGCACAGCTTGAAAACTGTCCACAGTGTGCTCTTATGCCTAGTGTGGTCAGTTGGGTTTACATACTCTTTTATTTTTAGTGGGATAAGGTTAGAAACCACTTTGTGGCTTCATTAGGGCCTTACTTTCTGTTCTGGGGACAACCTTTTACAAGGCAGGAAGTGAGGGAAATTCTGCAAAAGAGAAATAGACAATGATAAAACAATGATGGGGTTATAGCATTTCCCTATGTTAAAGTAGCAGTGGCTACTTTTTAAAATTTTTACTCACTTCCTGTCCGAGGGGCAGACTATTTACCAGATATGAAGTGAAGGAATCTCTCCAATGGAGTCACTGATGGCAGTAAAACCCAACATAAGTTTAAATCCTTCCCCATTCTATCAAAAAGTTAAAAAAAAAAGTTGTGGCAATAGATACATTTGATGTACATTTGGGTTGATGTAATAAATGCAAATAGGCTGTTTGTGTTGCAAGGGAATTTTCCCCAAAGCTTAGTGAATGAGGTAAAATTTTGCTGACTTCCATCATCCAATCATGTACAAGTAAAAAACATATTTGTTTACATGTCCTTGTACAGTATGTAATTGGGTACTGTTTGCAAAGTGAATTTTTACCACATTCAAACTAAGGGAAAATTCCTTTTTCAAAGTGAACAGCTTATTTGCCTTTACCAAATCATCTCCAGTCAGTCTTCTCCCTCTTTTAATTTTAAAGCATGACCACTAAGTCATACAAGGCAAAAGAAGTAAAAGAAAAGCTAACCTGCACTTTCTATAAGTGACATGCAAGCTCTTTGTAAGGGAAATATAGGACAGTGAAAATAAGGTTAAATAAAATACAGCAAATTTGAAGGAAATTAAGATTTAATTGTATATTGGCATTTATACATTATAATCATTTGTCAGAATATAAAAATGACAACACACATTAAACCCAATTGCACAGTCTTTATGAAATCCACATTACATTTATCAACAGCCATGTGGTTTAAAGAGATATTTGAACAATTTACATTTTTCTGCTGTGTATCTTTTTATCTAGAACTCAGAAAACACTCCAGAAAGGGTGATATCCAGTGAGGTATTTGCTACGCTGCATAGTTATTGGTAAATCTGATGGAGACTGTACAATCAGATTTAAATACGGGTAAGCATATAACCACAGGCCTGGCTCCTAGTACTGAGGGCTGGCTAAACATGTGAAAGTTTAATCTAGGGGGAGGTGGCTCACCTCTCATATACCGTATATATAGAGCGCAATTTCCCGATGTAGGCCACACCCCTGAGAACATCATTGGTGATGAATTGCATAGAGTGGAGCTATGACGTCATCATGCACAGGGATGCAGCGACGATCTTGTTTGTTGGAAACATCTTACTTGGTTTGGGGATATGCTGATTTTAACATTTGTTACATGTACGTGCATTACTTTGAATAAATAGTTTACTATATTGGCCTACTACACTATGAGATATGAGGTTTTCTCTCCTTGGGCTGTCAGCTTTGGAGATTAATCCTGCCCATTAGGCTGAATCGTTTTGGAAATCTATCGAAGTTAGTCCTGAGAGAAATATTTGCAGAGAGTCCTTCTGTGATGTTTTGGTTCAACACAGAGCTGTTTGATCATCCATTTTTAGGGGGTCAACATGTTCTGGTAAAAGGCCATGTGTTTGGGTTGGCAAAGGTTATTCCTCTTATCGGTGGCAGGACTTCGATCCATTATGGTCCCCAATCCGCAGATCCGATCCATCCTTCGGGGATCATCGGCTTGCTTTACAACTTACCTTTTCGTGGAGCGGGTCTGGTGTCACCCCGTGTAGGTTGCATGTCGACGATCCCCACAGGATGGATCACATCTGCGGATTGGGGACCATAATGGATCGAAGTCGAAGTCCGGTCAATTATGCTTAATTCGCAGATCCGATCTATCCTGTGGGGATCATCAGCTTGCTTTATAACTTACCTTTTTGTGGAGCGGGTCCGGTGTCACCTCGTATAGGTTGCTGACGATCCCCGCACGATGGTTCTGATCTGCGGATTGGGGAGCATAATGGATTGGACTCCGATCCATTATGCTCAATCTGCAGATCCATCCTGCGGGGATCGTCGGAGGGGGTGTCACGAGTGTTATCATACTGGGTTACACCAACCCTAGGGACGCCCCTGACTCCTATATTCATCATCCTTTGAGCACTAATATCTAGAGAGTAGCCCATTGAGGCTTTACAGGTGAACTATATCACATTCTTTCCAGCTGAAATACACTACTTATCTGAGGATGGGACTGTTTGTTATATCTTTCAGTATTTTATTCCATTAGAGATGAAACGTTGTAGAGATTTATTTATTATTAGCGCTGCAGCATTTTTATTTGTTCCAATTATAATCTATGAAATATACTTACAAAGTCAGTTTTGCTGATTTTCCATAATTCTGGTAGCTCCTGGAACTGGATGAACATCTGTCTTAGACTGACAACATTTATACATGCGAGTACTGCCTACGGGGATGACAGGAAAGAGTTAACAATTACAGCTGCTTGTGTTACAGAGCAATGTAAATAATTCAAACTGCTAATACTGTTAGTTGTCCAATGGCTCTGTACAGCCAAACAGGTCAATAAACAAAGCCAACAGTATACAGTGATGTAATGTACAGCGCTGAGCAAACTATTGGCACTTTATAAATACTGAATAATAATAATGATGACTGGATCCATAGTGAACAATAGAAGTTCCACATTGTTTCTTAATATTATGTATAGTCTGGTATCTTCTTCACATTAATATGTGCACCCTCCTAGGTAAGTGCTAAGATAGATAGATAGATAGATAGAGATAGATAGATAGATAGATAGATAGATGGGATTAGATATGATTGAACAGTACTGACTGGCATAATCAAGAGTTTGGACATCTTTGTATATCCTTTCCCATCTTTATAAAGTCCCATTACCTTGTTACGCAGGTCTTTTGACAGTTCTTTTCTGATCCTCATGGCTCAGTATCTAGCCTGCTCAGTGCATCCAGGTAAGAGCTAACAAACTCATTGACTATTTATACACTGACACTAATTGCAATTTCAAAAACTACAGATGTGGGAAATTAACCTTTAATTGCCATTTTGCCCTATCACCTTGTGTGTCTGTACCAAGGCCAAACATTCCAGGGTATGTCAACTTTTGATCAGGGCCATTTGGGTGATTTCTGTTACCATTGTGTTTTAAAAATGAGCCAAACGTGTGCTTGCTTCGGCAGCACATATACTAAAATTGGAACAATACAGAGAAGAATATTGTTTCCGTTTTCCTAAACGTATCCTGAGGTATGATATTATACAACTCATTGTAATACTCTTTAAATATTCTAGCAATATCCTTGGTTGAGTGTACAAATTCCCCCTTGGGGTTTCTTATTTTCTCAATATAATTTCTATTTTTCTTCTTTCTTAAAGTTCTCATTAAATACTTTCCCGCCTATCTCCCCATCTGTACCTTTCACTTGTTATTTTATTAAAGACTCTTCTTTTTTCCTCCTCCATTACATTCTCTAATTCTTCTTTCTTCTTTATTAACCTCTGCATTATCTCCTTAGTTCTTTCCCTTTTATGCACCTGTTCAAGATCATATATTTCATTTAATAATCTATTTATCTTTTCTCTCCTTTCTTTTTTCTTTTTTGCCCCCATTGCAATAAGTAGGCCTCTGATGTAAGCTTTATGTGCTTCCCACACCGTTGCAACCGACACATCCTCTGTTTCATTCTCATCAAAAAACCATTCAATTTCTCTCTCAATCCTTTGACCAATCTCTTCCTCCATGAGAAGTGCCTCATTCAACCGCCATACATAACCTTCTCTCCCTTCTCTACCCCATCTTAACTTCATAGCAACTGGGGCATGATCCGACAGGGTGCTTCCTTCAATTTTCACTTCTACCACCCACTCTATCACTCGATTTCTACTAATATGTAATCTAGTCTAGAATAAGTCTCATGAACGTGCGAAAAGAAAAGTATAATCTCTCTCCTTCATATTCCTAATTCTCCAGATGTCCACCAACTGACATTCATGCATTAATTTCTTTAACATTCTCAAGGATTTGCTTTCCTCCCTCCTCACAGAGGAAGTGGTGTCTATCCGCGGATCCATACAGATGTTAAAGTCTCCCGCTACTATCATATGCCCACTTTTAAAATCCATCAATCTCTTCAGCACTTCTCTCATAAACCTCTCTGGTCTCTTATTTGGGCTGTATATATTTGCTATTGTACACTCAATTCCCTGTAGTTTACCTCTCAAAAATAAAAACCTCCCCTCCGGATCCGTTAATCTCTCCTCCACCTCGAACCTTATATTCTTTGCGAAGCCTATAGCAACTCCTTTTGCTCTTTTAGTTGGTGAATCCGCATAGAACCATGTTGGAAAATGTCTAGTCTTCAGTCTAACCTTTGACTCTATCTCTAGATGTGTTTCCTGCAAGAATACCACTGAGGATTTTCTATGTTGAAGTTCTTTAAATAACCTGAATCTCTTTCCTGGGCAGCTTAACCCTTTTACATTATAGGTTATATATTGGATTTCTTCCATCTTACTCTTTTCCTACCGTCTCCCTCTTCCTCCTTCCCTTCCTCTTTCTTATTGCTATAGAGCGTTTTTATCCCTCTACCCTTTTTCTCTCTCCCTCTCCCTCCCCCCCTCTCCCAATACTCCCCCCATTCCCTTTCCTCTCCCCCCCCCTCCCCCTCCCACACCACCTCTCCCCCCCTCCCTCCCCCTCTTTTTAGGCCTTTACTTTGCCTAACCATCATTTGTGGAAGTAGCATCCACCTTTGACTTAAACCTTAGGGCTTCACTCTTCCCATGGACAGCCTCCCCTCCATCCAGATCCCCCCTTGACCCCCTCTCTACTCATCTTTTCTATAGGAGGAAAAAAGGAGTCAAGCTGGAGGGACAAGGGGGGGAAAAAAAAAAAAGAGGCGATGAAATGGGAGCAAGGAGAGAGAAAGAAGAAAAAAAAAATAAAAAAATAAAAAAAAAAACACACACTTCTCTCCCCTTCACTCTCCTTCCCCGCCCCTCCCCCTCTCCCCCATCTGTCTCCACCCCTCCCCTCTTTCTGCTCTTTCTTCCCCAGATTCTTCTTCCCAACCCTTTATTTCAATTTTCTGCATTTCAAGTCTATTGCAAAAATTTCTCAAGTCCTCTGGGAACCTCAAATGGGCTGTTATTCCATTTTTCCATCCTATTAAACACTCCGGAACTCCCCATCTATATTGCACCTTCTGTTTTTTCATCTGCTCCAGCAAAGGCCTCAGAGCTCTCCTCCTCGGAGATTCTCTGATGACAATTCCGCATATATTTGAATATCCATTTCTCCATACTTTATTACTGGTTTTCCCTTAGTGTTCCTCCAGATTTTTTTCCCTTTGTTGTAATTCATAAAATTTTACAAGTATGTCTCTCGGCCTGTCTTTCTCATGATTCCCCTGGAGTTTCCAGTTTCTAGAGATTCCTTCTATATTAGTCCTTTCGATTTCAGAGTTTCCCATTATAAAGTTCAGTATTTTGCAAACCATCTCTTCTAGTATTTCTCCCTTTAAACTTTCCGGTACTCCTCTTATCCTTATATTTCTCCTTCTTTCTCTATTTTCTTGAATTTCCACCTTGTACTGCAGTTTTTCCTGAGCTTTTTCCATATTAATTATCTTCTTCTCTAATTCGGAAATAATCTGGGTCTGGCTTTTAACTTTCTGCTCCGTTTCTTCCACTCGTAACAACAACTGCCCAGATCATTCCGAATTTTTTACCATTTCTTGCTTTATTGTTCTCTCCAGATCTTTGAACATTTCTGTCATCTCTCTTTTATTTGGGATTTGTAGTTCTTTTTCTGTCTCTGATATTTGTTGATTACTGATATCCAATTCCATTGACTGTTTAGGACTATTTTGCATACTTAAATCAGACTCTCCTTTATCTTCTCTGCTCTGGGGCCTTTCTGGGGTCACATTTCCCTGGGATGCGTACTTTTTAATTGTCCCCGTTTGTGTCCCTTTAGGCCCGGTTCCCTTTGCACTTTTATTTTTCATTTCTTCTGTAACCTTTATTTTCTCTTATAAACTTATACTTTGCAAAACGAAGAAATTAATAAGGTGTAGAAATAGAATTCCCAGCTTTGTCTTCCCACCTTTCTGTATGCCTTTGCCTGCACCTTGCGTTCTTCTCCTTATTTTTTATTCTTATTCTCTGGGGGGTCCCCCCCTTTTCTTTCTCTCCCTGCTTTCCTCCAACTCTATACAATTTTTGTGTTTGGGGCCACCGCCAGACTCTCACTCACCCCTCCAACTCGTGAGACGGCTCCAGGCTCCTTCCTCCAATTCTTTTCAGCAGGTCCGCTCTCTTCCTCAGGTGGACCCTCCAGGACTTTCCTCCATGCTCTTCTTCCTTGTCTTTGTTGGGGAGGCTCACCATCGACCGCCTGTTAGGGCTCCCTGGATTGCAGGTCGTCCGGCAGAGCAGAATCTCTCCTGCTCCCTGTCAGCCTCCGGCCGTCGGCCGGCTTTCTTGCCTCCCAGAGGTGCACTGCGGCCGGTCACATGTCCCAGCCGCGCCTCCCTGTCACCCGGCAACCAGGCTCGGCGTCCAGGCTCAGCGTCCCTGCCACACTCCGCTGGTCTCCGCTCTCAACTCCGGGGAGCCGCTCAGCCAGAGGAACCCGCCCGGTCGAGGTAGGTCTCTACCCTCTAGAGCTCCATCTGCTAGGGGGGAATTTTAGAGTCCAAGGGGGGGTCGGTCGGAAGAGGCCCGTGCGGGAGCTCCTACCACGAGCTCTCCGCCGCCGCCATAGTCAGGCTCCGCCCCTCCGCCGTGGAATCTTATCTAAATAGAGAGAAAAGAAAGATATACCTAGAGGAGGCAGGCCTACCGAAACTAAGCAAAACACAACTGGACTCTCTAGAGGCAGAAATAACCACAGAGGAAATAAAATCAGCATTAGAAAGCATGGCGGGAGGGAAAAGCCCAGGTCCGGATGGATATACGGCCAAATACTATAAAAAATATAAAGAGCTTTTAATTCCCAAAATGAAGATTTATATGAACGCCTTGGGGAACGGGATGAAGATAAGGGGAGAGTCTTTACAGGCGAATATAGTATTGATACAGAAAGAAGATAAAGATCCCTCACAATGTGCGAGTTATCATCCCATAGCGCTGCTGAATGTAGACACTAAAATATATGCAAAGGTTCTGGCAAATAGACTGAAAGAGCTGATGCCGGAGTGGGTACATAGAGACCAGGTGGGGTTTGTCTCGGGAAGAGAGGGTAGAGATAATGCTCTGAGATCACTGTTGCTTATACAGGAGGGCAAAAAAGGGAAAAACCCCAATGATACTGATGTCAATAGATGCTGAGAAGGCATTCGACAGAGTGAGTTGGGGTTTTATGATGGACACTCTGGAAGCGTTGGGAGTGGGAGATAGAATGAGAGGGTGGATTGGAGAGTTGTACAGAGGGCCTACCGCTACCATAATGGTAAATGGAGGAAGATCAGAGTACTTTAAGATGTCAAATGGTACAAGACAGGGATGCCCATTGTCCCCACTGCTATACGTGTTATCACTGGAGCCCTTACTGTCCATGATTAGAAAGAACATAGACATAAAAGGAATAAGGATAGGTGATAGAGAACATAAGGTAGCGGCCTATGCGGACGACCTGATGTTTTATGTTGGAAACCCTAGAACATCACTTCCAAATTTAATGAAAGCATTGAGGGAGTACGGAGACCTGTCGAACCTGAAAATTAACCCGACAAAGACCGAAATCTTAAACATAAATCTCAAAAACAGTGAAAAAGAAAGACTACAAGTAGAATTCCCTTTCCTTTGGAGAGACAAAGAATTAAAATATCTAGGAATAAAACTATCAACCTCAAATAAAAACCTTTATAAAGCCAATTATATAATGTTATTAAATGAAATTAAGGAGGAATTGAGGAGAGTGGGAAATGGAAATCCATCGTGGATAGGTGGTATAAACTTGATAAAGATGGTAATTGTCCCCAAAGTATTATATAAATTTCAAATGATCCCAATCAAACTCCCAGAGGCATATTTTAAAGAACTGAGGAAAATGATAATAAAATGTATATGGAGGAATAAAAAGCCTAGAATAGGGTATGAAACGTTGACTAGAAGTAAAGAAAGAGGAGGACTGGGGGTACCAGATTTTAGGAGATATTACAAAGCGGGGATTATCGCAAGAATCTTCGACTGGATTCATAATCCGGAGAAAAGTTGGGTCAAAATTGAGAAAACACTGAGTGGAATAGGTTTGAGTAATAGTATCTGGGTGCCTGCACAATACAGAGAATTAGAGGAGAGCACAAGCACGTACACTCTTATTGTTTTAAAAGAATGGGATTTATTACATAGACAAAAGGGGTGGGTTTTTAATTCACAACTAATACCACTTAGGAACACAAAATATTTCATCCCGGGTAAAGATAGTATAGCAGGGAAATGGATTATAAAACAGGAGGCGCAATTGAGAGATATAATGGTAGGGGAGGAGGAAATTGGGTCATATAAGGGATATGGAGGAAAGAAAGGGTGAAGTCTTTAATAAGATGGATAGATTAAGATATTACCAACTGAAGAACTTTTTTGAAAGCCTTCCAAAACCTATAAGAACTAGAAAAGACTGGAATCCATTTGAGAGAATTTTTGAGTCACGGGGAAATGGTAGACACGGAACGGCAAAAAATACACAACATATTAATGGAACTTGACACAGACACAGAATTAATGCACATAGAGAAATGGGAAAGAGATATGGGAAGAAAAATAGAGGAGGAGGAGGAGAGAAGAAGAAGATGTTCACATTAATTCACGAAAATATTAGTATGAGAGAAGTGGAAATAAATTATAAGTGTTTGAATAGATGGCACATTACCCCTTACCTGGAGCACAAGATGAATCCGGAAATTTCACAGATGTGTTGAGAGAGATTGTGGAGAGGTGGGCACGTGGTATCATATGTGGTGGGAGTGTCCAGAAATACAGGTGTTCTGGCGAAGGATAGTTTACTTGATAGGGAAGATTACTAAAATCAATATAGGATTAGACCCAGAATTATGCCTCCTCCATATCTCAGAACTCCCAGTAAAAGTATATAAGAGGTCAGGGATATGGTATTACTTAACCGCAGCAAAGAGCTTGATACCCAGGTACTGGAAGAAAAGAGAGGTGCCAACGGAGGAAGACTGGATGGGTAGAGTAAACCAGATTTCTGGGATAGAGAGATTGTATTATACGCACGAGGATAAGCTAGAGATGTACAATAAAAAATGGAAAGGATGGGGAGAATATAAAGAAATGGCGAAAAAGGTGAAGAGATAAGGTCCTGGGTAGTCGGTTCAGAATTGGATTTAGGAATAATAGAATTATATGGAGTAAATGAGAGAAGAGAGAATATAGAGCGTGGGAAGGTGAGGGAGGGAAGGGAGGGAACGGGGAGAAGGAGGGGGGGGGGGGGGTGTTTGGGAGGGGGGGATGGTATGAAAAGAAAGTCATATATAGGAATAAATTTTATAAGGAGAAAATATGTTTTTGATAAATATTTTAAGAGATATGTTGAAATGACTTGTATGTGGATTGAAAACTAATAAATATTTATAAAAAAAATACAGAGAAGAATAGCATGGACCCCAAGCAACGATGACACAAAGCATTCCATATTTTTTGCTTATTACTATGCTGCATTGTGTCATTATGATCTAAAAAGGAGCCAGACAACTATGTGATGAAAAGTGGCTTCATAGTATCATTATCCTTAAATAAAAGACAGTTTTTTGGCATGATCAGTCATGTTTTCAATATAAATGCCTAAATTTCACGATTTCTGCCAGGGTATGCAAACTTTTGAGCACAACTGTACATGATGAGTTTATTAAAATAAAGTGGACCCAAAACCATTATATTTCATACAGTATAGTTTCTTTTAAGTTGCTGATTCTGTAGTTCATTTAGTTGACTATCCTAGTTAAAACACAGGCTGAACTTAAAGTGGAGTTCCAGCTGAAAAAAAAAAAAGGTAATTTACTGCTATATTCTGGAGTTTATATCTGAGTGGTTGCAATGGATACTGCATACCTATCCTCTTTAAAGAAGACAATGACTTTGTTGTGACCAGCTATTAGGGTCATAAACTCACTTTTGCTCTGCAGTGCATTACCGTACTGCACATTAACGCATCACATGTGTTAGCATGTTGCAATGCTACTTTTTTCATGTGTTTTTTTTTGTCCATCCTTATACATTAGCATAACATATGTAAATGTATGACACAGTACAGCCTGCATTCACCATACAGACACAAGTGAAGAAGTGTGAATGAGCCCTTATAATTATGGTGTATTAGTTCACACTATAGTACAGTTACTAGAAAAGCCCTCTCTGGCTGCTATTGCTTGTAGTTTGTAGCAACATTTGGAGAAAATGATTGCCCTTGTCATAGCACCTTAGGGGGGGCAATTTAAGTTTTAGGGGGCTAACCGATAAAATAAAACACTTTATGGCAGGTGGACAGTACTCCCAAGGCCTCCTATTTTTTTTATTGTTATAGGAAATAAAAAAACAAGATAAAACAATTACAAATCCCCTTCTTATATATCCCCACCTCAAAACAAATATTTTTGTGCACAAAAACTCTTACCTTTGGCAAGTAATTAAACAGAGGACCAATCCAAATCAGAACGACTAGTACCACGCCACTGGTGAAGAATCCTGAAAGCTAAGAAAAAGGACAGTAATGTAATTTTTAGGCCTCATTAACACAGGGCAATTAAATTTGTGCCCTGTGCAGGACTGTGTTTACCCACATGGAATGAACAAGTGTTTCGTGCATCCCTGTGTCGGCAGTCCCAGTGTTGTCTACTTGGGATGTATGGCTGCATGGATACAGATACTGCTCTCAATGCGTCATCTGTGCTACATGCTCTTCAGCAGCTTCTCCATTGAACTGCATTGTAGCAAAAACGCTGCTTTTTGCATTAAAAAAAAAAAAGTCTCACCCTTTCCAAAAATGTAGCAGCTTAAAAAAGCATAGATGTGAACATGTCCCATAGTAAACAATGTTAAATGAACTGCAGTGTATTTCTCAAAAAAGCACTTAAAAACGCATTGGCGTCAACCAGGGCTTAGTGTTCATCTGGGTGTGTTAGAGGAGCTTAAATTGTAAGCTCCTTTTGACGATGAACTGATGTGAATCAATCTACAGTATGTAGTCTCTAAAAAGCTTTATAATAGTACCAGTGCTATATAAATACGTCATAAAAAAGACATTGGATTTCTGTAGAGAAATTGGTCTAAATATGCATTTTTATTCAGAAATGTATAATCAAACTTTGTAACAACTCACCTGAGTGTAAGCTCCAGCACTCTCGAGAATGTTTGTTGTAGCCAAAGTAGCAGAACTGGGAAAACAGTTGAAGAGTGAGGAGACCATATTGGATATCCCATGAGCCAAAAGTTCCTAAAAAATAGATCCCAGCTCTTTAAGTGGTTAAAACAATAAAAACAAACTGGAATGCAGTATTGAAAACTGCATTCAGAAAAAATATAAAAAGCCTCCTGCCCTAGAATGGATGTCCTACTCCTAAGCTGCTCACACTCACCTTAACCGCAAGGTAAATACAAATATCAAAGAAGAAAATAGTGAAGCGCTCGCAATAGCTACTAATATAGGACATACATAATATAGTGCAATGCAGTGGATAACATGATAAAATCAGTGTGACAATAATTTCATGTGCATTATAGGTCACCACACAGAAGGAATTAATATAATAAATATTCCTTATTACAGTAATAAAGTGCACATGCTCATAAGATAATTCAAATACAGTTCATGCTATGTGAAAGTCCACAGTAAATAAATTCCAAACTTGGTGGCCAATACACAAAAATCACAGCAAGCTATGTGAGATGTTCACAGTGCCACACGATGTGCAGAAAAATCCATAAATGGCCAAAGTGGCTCCTCACCTCCTTATTGTGACCCTTAGGGCCAGCACGCTGTGTGGGTAACCCACAGGAACTCAAAGTGAATATCGTCAGGGCTGGAACACTTAAGAGAACAACCTTAGTACTTCTAGATCTTCTCCTGTTTCAGGGACTCTCAAACACACGTAACCGTTGCAGGATGGTATTAAAAACAAAAAAATCCTCCATGGTGTAATCCTGCCTTTATTAAATATATACAAACAAAGCCAATTGCCCACTCACATTAAAAAAAAGCCTTTTTTCCCATATCATGGGTATATACTCATGGTTCTGATGCTGGATAAACATACAGCTCCACTAGCTCCACAGCTCCAGATGTACTAAGGTCGTTCCCTTGGGGACTCCAGTCTCCAGAGTGGCACAAGAGCATTGGCTGCGGTCATCCCTGCTGCTTGTGCATCTTTTTCTTCCACACTTTTCCCTTCCACATTTCTATTAATGTGCTTTGATACAGCACTTTGGGAACATCCATTTTCTTTTGCAATTACCTTTTGAGGCTTTCCCTCCTTATGGAGGGTGTCAGTGATGGTTCTCTGCACAACTGTCAGGTCAGCAGTCTTTCCCATGATTGTGATTCCTACTGAACCAGACTGAGAGACCATTTAAAGGCTCAGGAACCCTTTGCAGGTGTTATGGCTTAATTAGCTGATTAGAGTGAGATACTTTGAGCCTAGAATATTGCACCTTTTCACAATATTCTAATTTTCTGAGATTGTGGATTTGGGGTTTTCATGAGCTGTAAGCCATAATCATCACAATTATGACAAATCACGGCTTGAACTATCTTGCTTTGCATGTAATGAGTCTATCTCATATATTAGTTTCACCTTTTAAGTTGCATTACAGAAATAAATGAACTTTTGCATGATATTCAAATTTTTCTACTTTTTTGAGTTTCACCTGTGTACCAGCCATTGTGACAGCATTCCTTTAATAAGCTGTAATCCAATAAAATAGTGTGCAATAGTATCCAATGTCTCACCTGGTTTGGATCAATGGTATATCTGTGTTTCTCTGCGTAGATCATAGCCAGTGACACAGATACAGCATAGCCTACAAATGTGATGGCAATTGTGTCTCCAATCACATCAGGGATGACTTTCAGGGTAGGAAGCTTAGGCACTGGGAAACTGTTTTAAAAAAAAATTAAAATTAAGAACCTGCAATTAATGATTCAACATTTACTGAAAAACAAAACTAATCCCCTCTCAAGCTCAAGAAATTCAAACTGAGTGTTTGATAAAACATACCAAAATGATCAAAGAATCTAGTTATAGCACTAAAGACAAAAGTGAAGTTGCACTTCTAAAAGCCCAGAATGAGATTCATTCATCAGAAACAGGGGTAATCCACCTGCACCTCTTATGCATTTCATTCTGCTAGGAGTTATGAGCTGAACTGCCCAGGTTCTGTTCGAGCAGGATTTAGCAAACTTCAAAGAAGTTCATATGTCAAACCTGAGCCTAGCTTAAATCAACGGAAGCCGAATCAGTCAAATTAAAAATGCCCATTTTATGGACAGATGGGAGTGGGATCTGGGTGAGCAGATGGATGAGTTTGAGTGGAGTAGACTTGCTCAATATGCTTCTCAGTCTCTCATAAACACATCGTTGATAGAAGCAAATTATTGTCCTGTGTTTCGAATGCCTCATCCCTTTGCTTTTGTGGCTGTGGCCAAGCAGGGACAGTGCTCCATGTTTGGTGGTTTTGTCCAAAAGTCTGGCCGTTTTGGACACGCACATACAACTTCATCTATTCTCCCACCCAAATGATTCTCAGGAAAAGCCCTCAGCAGGCCCTACTGGGTAACCCAGTGGAGGGGGCACCAAGACCTGTGTGATGGTTGATAACATTGATTTTTACAGCAGTTAGAATTTCCATTGCAGGGACTTGGAAGTCTCCTGTGATTCTGTTCTACCTTTTGAAGGCCAAATTGACATGGATCATGATGAATGAATGCCTGTCAGCGAACCTTCAAGATAAGATGGCCAATTTTGGAAGGACTTGGGACCCATGGATCAGATATCTGTCAAGCTCTCCATGACTTGGGTCTATCTACCTTCTTTTCTTCTCTCTCTCATCTCTCATTCTACTCCCATTTCTCTATTTTTTCCTCTTTTTTTTCTCTTTCCATTTTTTTTTGGTTGAGCTTAGTGGTGACATACCACGCTGTGGTGGGCCTTTATGCACTGTCAGGCTGTTATTGCTGTGCCTTTACCTATGCCTGTTACACTGGAATGTGCCTATATGTCTTCATTGCTGGAAATGCTATATGTTTTTTTTTTTCTCTCTTCCTCCTGTGTATTTCAGGAAGGTGTCTGTATTTTATTGAAAATTAATAAAAAAACCTATTGAAAGAGAACAATGCCCATTTTCTGGGCTAAGAGGCAAGAGGGTTTCAAAAAATAGCATGTGGAGCACTGCCCAAACTCCCACCAAGCAGGACACAAAGCAGGCAAAAGTTTGAGCATTTATCCAAATGCCCAAAAAGCCAGAGTTCAATCCAAACCTAGGATTGCACTGAACCATCTGCTCATCTTTAGTCGTAAAGTAAGGATAGAAAGACATCTTTATCACAACTGCATCACAAACATGAGTGTCTCACGATTATTTATTCTGACACAATGAAACTTGTTGCAAACTCTTCATTAAAAGTGATCATATGTATCAATAGTTACAAAGAAACACATATAACAGAATATTTATCCAAAGTAGGCAACATTGTAAGCATTCTGAAGCCATATACAGACTACTTCACTTCACCTGTTCTGACATCTGTGGGTGTCTTGTAATTCAACCAGCCCTTCCACCACACCACAGTGAATTAGTTTACAGCCTGCTGGCTGCACACAGTGTCATAATTCATTATCATGACAAACTATATATATATATGGTCAATATTGGCTGCTGTGTGGCTCCCTTGGTAGAAAAACATCACTCCAAAAGTTATATCATTTATATATATATATATATATATATATATATATATATATATATACTGCTCACAAAAATTAAAGGAACACTTTGAAAAACATCAGCTCTCAATAGGAAGAAATATCATGCTGGATATCTATACGGATATGGACTGGTAATGTGTTAGAAAGTAAGGATGCCCATCATTTGATGGAAGTGAAAATGATCAACCTGCAGAGGACTGAATGTGCTGTTCTCCTCATATTTGTTATTTAACTGTGCATTGTATCACCAATTCTTATTTCACAGCATTTGTTTCTATGTATTGATCTGTTGCTGCCATCTACTGGCCAGAATTTGCATGCTGCATGCCTCTGTTCTTGCTAGTAAAGTTTTTTCTCTCTACTGGGCGTGGTTTTAGGCAAGCCTTGGTTCTGGTCATTTCCTGCAGCCATTTTTATGTGCTTTATAGCTGTGTGACAGGACATTCAACACCCTGGGCTTGTGAAGGCATCAGTTTTTGACCAGCAGTTAGCCTCAGGAAAGATATCACAGGACAGCATCAATACCTCTACTACCTTACAGTATTGTATCACTGTTTGTCGCTGTATTTGGATCAAATAAACCCACGCTGATTTCATTCCTGTGTATACGTTTGGATCCGTCTAACCTGAGCATCTGCTGGTCCGGTCTGTTCCACTGCTTGGTTACGAAGGTAGGAAGTTACACAGCCATTATCAGTTATACCTTTATTCACCTTCATGTGGGGACAGAACACT